CAAATTTTCTGGTTATTGTTTTTCTTTTATGAATTCCTTTCTACACATAGAATTGTCAGACTTGAACATGTCTGGCTAGTCTTTTATTATTGTGGTAAGGGTCACAACCCTTAATGTGAACCCCTTGTAGTTTGGTTATTTTTTATATTTAATTATTTCAATTGCCTTTATTTTATCCTGTTCTTCATCTTATAATTCTTTTAGAACCGATCACTCTATTAGGATTGTGAGGGTTACGATTTTCAATAGGAATATTGAGATTCTAGTTCCTGACAAAGGGTAAAATAACAATTCATGTATGCACTAGGGATAGGCTACATGAATTGCAAACGTGAAAAATTCACTGGTTTAAAAGGATTAACTTGAAAAGGAATTTCTAAAGGATTAGGATTCTAACAGGGTTAATAAAGTTAAGATCACTAAGGAATTAGGGCTTAACTAATAAATTAACAGATGGTGAATTGTTTGATCAATGGTTAAATTAAATGTAAACATTAATTAATATTGCAAGGTGGGGATCATAAAGGTGTTGGTGTCTTTTACCGCAATATTCTTTTAAATATCTTCTCAATCTTAATCTGTTATTCTCAAGTTTTCAAAAACATCTTTGAATTATTCACAAGTCTTGAATTATTCTCAATCTTTACAACCACAATTATTCTCAAACCAATTTTATTAATCCAACAAGAGAAGAATAGATTAAATAATTTTGGTGCCTCAATCCTCGTGGAGACGATACTCTACTTATCCTTTTATTACTTGAAACGATCGGTACACTTGCCGATTTTTTGCAACACGGGTACAGTATGAGCGTGTACTATTGTGGGTTGTAGACGTATGTAAATCCTACATTTCTCTGGCCAGTAGAATAGTTGACACACATAACATGATTATCTGCTGCATTGCACTGATTTTTGGAACTTATATTATATTACTGCTTTTGAACTTATATTGCATATGTAAGTGAGCTTGGGGTGGAGAAATCCTTGAGGACTCATTGTCTTACTGAGATTTCTGTTTAGAGATCTCACCCCACGTTTGGGGCACATATTTTAGGTTCAGGTAACTCGGGGGTTGAGACCTCGAGCGGCAGGAGGCCGGAGCTGAGTTAGGCATTGCTGTTTATTCTGTTATAATTGGATCCTGACATGCTTTATGTTATTATTATGATTCTGTTGTTGAGACTCTGTTGGGCCTTATTGCCTTATTTGGTGAGCATAGGGGTTGTCCATGCCATATTGATTGATTATGTCTTATTTTAGATTCGAGTGGTATAATTGTATCAGGATTTGGTCCGGACTACGTGTGGTAGTTCTGTGACTTAGATACTCACTTATTTATATTATGAGGTTATTCAGTGTAGATAGCTGTTTATTTGCAATTACATACAGACAACGCTTTAAAGGATTGATTAATCAACTTGGTAATTGATACTGACGTCATAATTGAAAAGAAAAAGTTATTCCGCATTTTTAATTAAGTAAATCTTAATACGATGACATAATAACAACCCGACTATACACGGGGTGTTACACCAGGCATCTTCTTGTTGGATCCGGGCCTTCTCCTGTTGATAAAGGTGGCTGTGCCTATCCATCTCCTCGATCCTTTGTAGCAGGGCATTGATCGCAATGTGAGAAATGCGCTGATCCTCATTTGTCTCAAGTGGGACTTGCAACGCAGCTGGTTGCACCTCTCGAGCATTTGCAACTCGAATCAGTGGATCTTGGTTTACCGCCGGAGTTGATGCCGAATCAGAATACACATCACTCACATGGACAACATCATAATCAACCAATTGTTGATTTCCAAGAATAGGGTTATTCGCTGGTATCTCCTCTAAAATTGGATCTTGTGGTAACCCATGATACGATGATGATGGCTGTTAATAATCGCTTCTGGTGCGTGCCATGGTTATTGTGGAAATAAAATTTTATGGATTCTCACAGACGGCGCCAATGTTTTGTCGAATGACAAAAGTGTCAAGTCAAGGGCTAGTCGGTCAATCTATGATCGTGTACTCTCTTCAGGTATCTATCGATTAGATAACATGAGGTAGCAGATCACTATATACAACTATAACGGTGTTAATTAGCCAAAAGGGTGGTGTATGAGTGCACAGTGGCAACATAATGGTTAAAGAGAGAGATTAAGTCATACCTGTTAGATTTATCTCCTATTTATAAGGTTTTACCGGTGAGTATATGACTTTTGGGCCTCTTACTCATAAGCCCAATTGTTCTCTTGCACAACTGTCGTGTGATTGCCCTTTGTTGGGCTTTTGGATATATAAACCTTACCTGTTGAGTTTTTTTTTTTTCACAGAGTTAGCTCTTCATTGAAATATATAGTATATTAAACTAAAAATAGGGTGAGACTAATCCCCTCTTAAACTTGGTGATTCAACCGTAAACTAGTTTGGGCAGTAAAATAAAATAAAAAAAGCTATTTATAAGCACGCGTTAAATAGAAAAGAGTTAACTATGGGTTCTAGAACTTCGAATATATAGAACACATGAATCAAAATATAGTATAGTAGTAGTGGCAATATTCCACAATTATAAAGAGTGTAGAACTTGAAAGAAAGTATTCATAGGAAAAAACAAAAGATGTTTGACAAAAGGAGAAGGTATTTGAGTGGTGGTGAATGGTGGAAAGAAAGGAGAAAGAAGAATAGAGAATTCTGAGTCAAAGTGTGCGGTGCAAATGAAAGAAGAGAAAATAGAAAAAGAAAGTGGACTTACGTGAGAGAGAAAGAGTAAAGCCAAACATTGTTTTTATAGCATGTCGTTTCCAATTGTGTGCTCCCAGCTTTGGAATTCCATTAACAAATAAGTAGGTGCTTACCAATTCCAACTAAGCCATTTTTATGCGTTCCTATTCTACATGTCTGTCCTTTTCTCTACTGTCTTATTCATTCTGTTCTGAAGTTGTCTCGTAGCATATATATCTATGGTTAATCAGTGTACTTACAATATATATTCTTCTATATTATTTTTTTATTATATAAATTTATTATAATATTATGTTGTCAAGAGCGGTCACAAGTTTATTTGTGATTGAAATTTCATAAGTTTGAATATGTTAGAATGGTAACAGAGAGTTCAAAAACTCTCCCATGTTATATTTTCACCAAAATGATAAACCATAATAAATAAGTGAACCGACGCCACATACATCTCAACACAGAACTATAAGGATATAGGTCAATGGATCTTTTGCACTTATATGGTACTTACTTGATTTATTTCTAACCGATACGAGACTTCACCACTATTTACACTAACTATTTTCAAGGAGTCACACTAGCCTTTTGTTGGAATAGTATGGGAGAGCCCAAAAACTCTTTACATGCAAGGGATACTTCCACGATATGTGCAATGACAAACTATAATAAATGAACTGACACCACAATTCAACCTAAAACCTTAAAACTAAAGGTAAATGAGTTTTTTGCTCATATATGGTCATCACTTGTTTCATTTTTAACTAATGTGAGACTTTACCACTGCTCACACTTAAATATTTCCAACAGGGTGGGAAACAAATTATTTGTTATTCAAGGGTAAGACTGCATACAATAATTATTTTCCCCTCACCCTTGCTAGTCGAGTCTAATGAGAAGAGATTTTGTATCACACACAATATATATATATATATATATATATATATATATATATATATATATATATATGGTAGCGATATATATACATACATACATACATACATATACACACCCACACACGAGTGAGATCCAATAAATCACAGTTATTAGATTAACAAAAATCAACGGTTAAGATTTGGTGTAAAACTTATTATTTTTACACCGGTATAACAATAATAAGTCCTACACCAAATCTTAACCGTTGATTTTCATGAATCTAACAATTGTGATTTATTGGGTCTCACTCATTAATTAATTATTAATCCGGTATAATAATAATAAGATTTACACCAAATCTTAATTGTTGATTTTTGTTAATATAACAATTATGATTTATTGGATCTCACTCGTTAATTAATTATTAATTCTCAATATATATATTATCATGTCACTTGACCGTCCAGTCACACAAAACTACGTCGCTTTGGATAATTATTTTCCTTATTTAATTGATCAAAAATGGATATTATATTTTTCTCTCTTCATTTCTCATCATTGATCCATTATTATATGGTTATGATTCCTCAACTTGACAAATCCTTACGTCGAGTGACTTTACATCTGATTAACCATATATATATATATATATATATATATATATATATATATATATATATAATAAGTTGAGTGTAATTTGGTAACCAATTTGATTTTGTCATGTACTTTTGGGATAGTGCGCCATGTTTGTTTATATATTTCTCCTTGCTCACGCTAGAAGCACTTAACACAGTGAAGCCACCAATCCCTTTTAATATCTAAACCGCAGCTGCAGGCCTCCACCTTCTCATAGGCCAAGATTTGAGAGTCAGGTAATGAAGATTGTTTATTCATCTGCAGCTCTTTCATTTTCCATTCTATCTAAATTCATTTGTTCTTTCTTTCTTGCTTGTAGAAATGTATGGATTATGTAAAGACTGCATTTGTTTTTAGTATGTAATTAAATCCATGATATAATACCTTTTAGTTTTATATATCTTGAATTGGTTCATTTTCCTGATATAATATAATTTTCCTCCATATTGAGTTCTTGACACTCATGCATATTCATGCATGCATGTTAGTATGTGCTTGTAATAGCTAGTGTTCTTTTAAACAAAAGTGCATATTCTTTATGAATTTTTGCATATATTTTTTACTGACAGTTGTCTGTTCATGAATTGAAGAGCTAAGACAAGATTTTCTTATTTGATTCTCATTAATTTGGCTTTAGTTGATTCTACCAAAAGTGCTTGATTATATAATATATCACTGTGCAGGCAAAATTCATTGCAACTTGATTTGGAGTAGTAAGGAGAGGTATCAGTATCTTTATCATAGGAAAAAAAAGAAAGACACTATGGAGTTTTGGAAGCTTTTTGTTGTTGCATTAATGCCAGTTCTTAAGGTACTGTTAATTACTGTTGTTGGCACATTTCTTGCACTTGATCGATTTGGCATACTCAGGGAAACTGCCAGGAAAAACTTGAACACAGTAAGTTTCATCCTTTTTTTTTTATCTCTCCTTATTTTACCTCAAATACTATATCTTTATCCAAAGTTACAAATTTTTTAATTGGTAGCAAGTCATTGGTCATTGTTAAATTTTTTAAATATTTTTTTTTTACTGTTTATATTAGTTCTTAGTTTTCCAGTTTACTAATGAAATTCCATATAATGTTCTTAGGGTGAACATGTGACTTATTTTGCTAGGTGTAACAGCCCCAAACCCTGTAGCATGATATTGTCCGCTTTGCCCTCGGGTTCATGGTTTTGTTTCTTGGGACACCCCACAAAAGGCCTCACACTAAAAGAGGTATCCACACCCTTATAAGGCATGCTTCGTTCCCCTCTCCAACCGATGTGGGACATTACATCCTCCCCCACTGGGAATACAGTGTCCCCGCTGTACACACCGGTCCAGGGCCAGGCTCTGATACCAAATGTAACAGCCCCAAACCCTGTAGCATGATATTGTCCGCTTTGCCCTCGGGCTCATGGTTTTGTTTCTTGGGACACCCCACAAAAGGCCTCACACTAGAAGAGGTATCCACACCCTTATAAGGCATGCTTCGTTCTCCTCTCCAACCGATGTGGGACATTACACTAGTCAATGATGTTTTGTCATCTTAGAGTATTTTTCATTCAAGACTTGATGAGTAGCTCTAGGACCAAATGTGTCAGGTCCATATCAACAAGTACATGGATCAATCGGCACGAATTGTTCCAATTTAATAGTTGTCCCCAGTTCGAGTTCTGGATTGGTAGAAAGAGTCTTGGTCCTGTTGGGCTCAATTGAATTGTTTAATTAATCAATGAGTGGAGAAATCTTAAAAATATAAAGTAAAACAATTGTATCAAGTCGAAGTACTTTTAGTGAAATAGTTGCACACTTTAAATGATGTCAAGCTCAAACGCCAATATTAGTATCTGATTGGCCCAGCTGAGGACATATAAAAAACCGTAGATAGAGTTCAAGGAGGGGCCCTCTAATATTAAAAAAAAAAATGAAAAATGAGACGATGGGAGCAATGTTAATAAAATCGGATTGGTCCATGAATCGATAAATCGATCATATAATGGTATGAGTGAAGCAATGGACCGGCCATGCATCAGAACCGGTGCTACTCGGCAGGTTAATCGGTGACCCGATCCAGTCTAAAATAAAATTAATTTTCATTTTTTTAGATATTTGAGTATATTTATAATTTTTTAATATAAATGATAGAATTACATATAATTACCGGATCATGCAATTCAACCAGTGACCCACTGATTGAACCAGTCATCAAGTACCTTAACTGGGTCAATTATGTCTGTGATATGTGAGTGTATGAAGCTTTAATTGACCAAGTATTTTGGGTCTAATAATTTCACACTTCAAATCACTCCAAAACACTCCTCAATCCAATAAAGTCTAAAGAGCTCTCATGCATGAGGAACTAAAACAAATATAAAATCATTAACCTCAACTTAAAATCTTTAAATTTTTAAAATTGTTTATTAATATTTTATTATTTCTTATAAAGAAAAGGTTGGGGAAGAAATAGGACAATATTACTTGGTAACTAACTACTAATATGAGATTTTTATTTATTTTTTTGGTTGTTCTTTAACAGATGGTGTTTTTCGTCTTCGCTCCAGCTCTTGTTTGTGGTAGCCTAGCTGAAACAATAACATTACGGAGCATAGTTATGTTGTGAGTTTTGCTTATTGCTACTTTTGCATTTTCTTTTAGAAATTATTCTCCATTTAGTTGGATTGTCATGTATGCTTCACCAATAATGTAGGTGGTTCATGCCGTTGAATGTTCTTCTCACATTTATTATTGGGACAGCTCTTGGATGGTTACTTGTTAAAATAACTAGAGTTCCTCATCATCTTCAAGGCCTTGTGTTGGGGTGTTGTGCTGCAGGTAGGGTCACTTACATATTTAAAATTGTAAAGTTCAAAAACCCCCATGTAATAATTTTTTTTTTTTTTTATCACTTACCTCTTTTTATGGTTTTTTTTCTTATCACTTACCTGCCCCATGATTTTTTCCATCCAAATCCACTTTTAAAACCATTAAAATTTCAATTAACTTGTCTATTTTACCTACATCAAAAGCATTAATTTATCATAAATATAGAAATTTTCCGCTTTATATATAACGTAGGACAAGTAAGTGATAAGAAAAAAACTATAACGGGGTAAGTGATTTTTAAACTTTTCCCTATTTAAAAGTATCTCTTTAATTAATTATCTTATCATTAATATCATATAGATCCTAAATAATTAATATCTATAATGATTTGGAGTTTGATGCCGACAGGAAACCTTGGAAATTTGCCTCTTATTATAGTTCCAGCTGTTTGTAAAGAGAGAAGCAATCCTTTTGGAGATGTGGATGTTTGCTACAGAAATGGACTAGCATATGCTTCTCTATCAATGGCAGTATGAAACTAACTTTAAACATTTGGAATTTAAGTATGTTCATCACTGAGTGATGTTTACACTTTTGAATTATTATTTCAGCTTGGAAGCATTTACATTTGGACTTATGTTTACAACATTGTCCGCATATATTCAAGCAAGATTTCCACTGAAGTCAAAGTTGATGATTCCATGATTAATCCAGTATTTGCAACTGCAATAGAAACTGATCCAGAAAACCTTTTAACACGTTCCACTGGAGGAGCATTGGTTACTGTTGATGATAGATCACAGAGTAATGATCATGTGAAGCAATTTGAAATTGAATGTACAATGCCTGATAAACAAGCAAAGGTAGTTGTTGAGTAGTTCTAATATAATTAGATTGTCTAAACTTTTCCTTTATGGCATGAATTTCTAACCTCTTTGGTTTAGTATTTGTATCTAGGATCAATATGCTCGCGCGAGTCTATGAAAAGACACCGTAAAGGGTAACAGATCATTGTATGCATAGTGAAGACTAATAGAGTATCCAGTTCAGAGTGTGTATATTAACCCTCTATTTATTGAAGGGGTTACCTATAAATGAAGAGTGTCCTGATAGGAGTCAGCTTGTTGGGATATGATAAGTAGCCTCAGGCTTAGGACAAGAGATCATATCTCTTATCTCTTTAGCTCATCACTTATCTAGGCCCATAGGATAGGTCCAGAGAACAGGTCTCTTGCACCAATTAAATCTCAAATAATCCATTACTTTTTTTCTCTTTTAGGTTTGCACCACCAATAAGCACCATCGCCTTTTTATATCAGCAGCACAAATTGGTAGCTCTTAATTAATTGACATCTTATATTGTTTAGGTTAGAGTTGAATGCAACACATAATAACGATTGGTGGCTTATGCATTACCTATCTTCAAAATGTTTTATCAATTGGGAAGAAGTTAAAGACATAATAAGATTGAAACTCAATATGGCATGCCTTCTTATTCTATTGCATTTCACTTGGTGATGAGGAGTGAGAAGCACTGTTCTTGTTAAGATGTAGATAACATTCTATAGAAGTTATGATCTTACATTTCCAGATTTTTACAGGTACTTAAAAAGGAAAAGATTGTGAAACAGCTGAAAATATTAGCTGAAAAGATCAACCTGAAGGTAGTATTTGCACCTGCCACGATAGGAACGGTATATCAAAAACACTCTTATTCTTCTCTGTAGTCTTCTTATTATTCTCGTTCAACTCATTTAAAGACGGAACAATAATGTTTAGAACGAGGTATGCTCGAACAGTGGCCAAAGTGCTACCGTTGGCAAAAAAAAACACCAAAATGCTACGTCAACAGTAAATTTTGCCAAAATGTCACGTGGCATATTTCACTACACTGTGTAGCGAAATATGTGTGCAAATAATTCGCTACACGGTGTAGCGAAATATGCCGCCTTAGAATGCACAGAACCAAAAATGCCACGTGTCAGACAGGGAGAATTTCTGACACGGCATATTTCGCTACACCGTGTAGCGAATTATTTGCACACGTATTTCGCTACACAGTGTAGCGAAATATGTCACGTGACATTTTGACAAAATTTACTGTTAGCGTAACATTTTGGTGTTTTTTTTTTGCCAACAGTGGCACTTTGGCCATTGTTCCGAGGTATGCTAGTTACAATTAAAAAGAATTGCAACACTATTGACATAAAGTCATATCACAACACTATATGTTGATATCTCAACCATGTTAGATTCTTCTGAAGCATATAGAGGCATTGCTATCTTGGTTTATAAATGTTAGACTATTACCAACTTCGCCTCTTGCTTCTTAAGACTATTAATTAAGTTAATATATTGGAACTTTATTAATTATTCTTAACAAGCATATTTCCTCCTTTCCTTATGTGTATGCAGATTGTTGGTTTAATAATTGGTATAGTCCCACAATTTCGAAAGCTATTAGTTGGTAATAATGCTCCTCTCCGTGTGGTTCAGGACTCTCTAGTCATGGTGGGGTAAGTCACCCAAATCCTCTGCACCCACATTTGGTTATTAGGTACCCAAAAAAAAACTTTATTTTGATGAATTTTTTTTTTCTCATTTTAAAAGATATAACTTTATATCATTTTAAGTAAAAATGTTGTAATACATATTTGTTAATTTTTTACATTTTCTTTCCTCCATAAAATTTGGAGAGAGAAATAGAGAGTATTACGGAGAAAAAGAGAATGTAAAAGACTAACAAATTTATACCAAAACACAGTTGTTTTACTTAAATAAATATAAAGTTGTATCATTTAAAATGATAAATAATTTTTCCTTGTTTGATTGTACACCTTTTTATTTAACCTGATTTGCAGGGCTGCAGGAATTCCAGCAATGACCTTGTTGGTTGGGGCAAATCTTATTAAGGGCAAGTGAATAAAATGAATTTCTCAAATTTGTCATCAATCTCTTTGGTTGAGTTCAATGTAGTAGTTACATTTGAAAATGAATGTGATGATTTTTCAGGTTTAAAAGGAATAAGAAAGCAGCTTCCACTTATTGTTGGCATTACTTTGGTTAGATTCATTGCCTTGCCAGCAATAGGAATAGGCATTGTTAAAGGTGCCATTCATTTTGGCTTGATCCACCCTGATCCATTATATCAGTTTCTTTTACTGCTTCAATATGCCCTTCCACCAGCGGTAGCCATGAGTAAGTTGTTTATGAAAATAAAAAAATGAGCATTTATGGCAAAAGCAATTAAACTATTGTGACATCCCAAAATAATTTTTTCTTTCTTTTTCTTCTTTTAGTTCTTTATATTCTCTCAAAGTGATATATTATTTATCCGGAAGTTGGAATTATCAAGTTGATTACTATTGATAATGACAGAATAAGTTATTTTCACATTAAACAAAAGGTTAAATAAATATATTCACTTTGAAAATCTATCAGATATTCCACCTAGCACTTCTTAATTTGTCTACAAATATCTATCCATTGATAGTATACATAAATTTAATTTCATAATTTACTTACAGGTTACAAAAAAATTATTCTTCACCAAACCTGTTTGCATTTCCAATATTTTTTATTCACTTCATATCCATATAACAGTTTTCACTTTCTGAAATTTTAATCATTTCTCCTTTAGACTTTATGTGGTAATATACTTATTTATGAATGTAACAGGTACGATTACTCAATTATTTGGAGCTGGTGAGGGTGAATGTTCAGTTATCATGTTGGCAACTTATTCATGTGCTGGAATTTCGCTTACACTCTCCTGCACATTCTTTATGTGGCTTGTACTATAGTTATTTTATATTGCAAGATCTTTTTTTTTTACTTTTAACAAATGTCACATTGTCAAAGAAAATGCATTTTAAGATCTAAATATGTATAGAGTTTAGTTAAATTAGGACTGGTTTAAAGGTAGATCAATATTTCAGTGTGCAAAATTGTGGAAAGCATATATGTTGTAAGTTGTAACTTTATGGTGTAATTTTAGCCAAATGAAAAGGGAGAAAAAGGGATAAAAGATCAATACTGAGTTTCTTTTTTGTGATGCAATGATTTTACAGTTAGCTTCTGTCATGGACTCATGTGATGCCCATTTATCACTATGTTCAACAAGGGGCAATCCAAATATAAATATGATATAATTAAGGGAGAATATTCATCAAGGATATCAATCCTAATACGACAGCATTATACATGGGCTTGGGCTGCCAGGAAAGACACAGAAGGTCCAGAATCAAATATCCACAGGCAAACCCTATAAATAAGATGTAAAGCCTACATGTATGATTATTCTCTCTCTTACTATTATGATATCACTGTGCACACACACCACCCCTTTCGCGAAAGCTATTTTGTATTCTTTGTGCACAATGATCCGCTAAACTCAAGGGTATCTAACTCATAAATACCTTAGAGGGAGCACCTAGATCCAACATAAACATACTAGCCCATTAAGTTAGACATCTGTCTTCAGGACAGAACAACTTCAATATGCTTTGTCCTTTTGTAAAAAGCTTTATTGGAAGCATGGGAAGGTAAAGAGATCAATCGTGATGAATCTTTAGGATCTGGAAACGATGAAGTAAGTCTGGTGATGTGTTTGAATCATTAAAGGGAGCCAAGGTTGTTTATTGGGAGAGAAAAAGAGAAGCACAGCAGGACAAAGGAATTTGTTTGAGCAAGTGAAATGAGTAGTAGTGTTCACGGAGAAATTTCACCAAAGATTTTCACAATATTTGCTGATTCAATTTTTAATTATAGGATGTGAACAACTGAACATAGAGTGCATCAAATAAAAGTGAAAATATTAAATTGTAGGAATTTAAGTGACAAGAAAAATAAATTGATAATGGATGTAAATAGCGAGTGGAAATTGATGAGAAAGTAATTGGTGGTAGAAACCAACGGTATCATGATAACCCACATTATTAAGTTGTATAAATGGGAATTACTCATGGATTTGAAGATATTAATGTGACTAAAAATTCAATTCTTGCCATTCAAGTAAATTAGTTACTAAAATGAAGTTATGGAAAGTTTAGGGACCAAATTGTGAATATACAAAAGTTGGCCTAAACATAATTATAATGCCATAATAATTAAGTTACACTAATTAGAAAGTAATGTCTAATCGAGTGAAAATCTTAAGTTTTGGGTTAAAATATCCACCAGGGATAAAATGATAATTTGACAGAAATTATCCGATTTTGGACCAACCCTGTAAAATACACGTCACCTAAGCCTATAAAATTAGGGAAGCATGTTGGAAAGAGAAAAATTAGAGGAAAATCTAATTATATGTTGACCAGATACGTTCATGGTAATAACTAATCATACTTCATAGAGTCTTCCATAATCCGAATGCACTTAACTTGTACGACCAAAATATTCATTGGCCTTGTACTAAAATTTCATATATATATATATATATATATATATATATATATATATATATATATATATATATATCAGGCATTGCCTCTTCATAATCATATTATCAGAATATGCATTTTAACTCAAACACATAATTAGTGTATCCTTTTTTAATTAGGGTTTTTGACAATCTATAACATATGTATATAAACATATTACACATATTTCAATACTCTTCACATCATCATACACACCAAAATTCATCACCACATTACACTTATCAGCACATCAAACATTAGATTTGTCAGACATATCAAATCACTAGAATTTAAGACTTATCAGTTTATCTCTGAATTGTCAGATATGTTAGTAAGTTCATAATTTATCAGACATATCACATAGTTCATAAATGTTAAGTCATTAAACATATCAACATTATCAGATAATAGATCAAACATCATTAATTCACATATATTCACATTTTATTACTATATGAATACAACTATACTAGTGTCTATCCACATCATCAATACAGACATAAAACCATCATCTCACCATAGTTTGGTAGAACTCAACATAGGAGAAAACTCCTTAAACCAAGAGCTTACATGTGAAGCTTTCCTCACAAGCAACTTAATCCTTCAAAGTACTTCTTTTGTGCACACTCTATTATCACAAATAAGACATTATCAATTTCTAAATAAGTGTCACTTGCAATTCAAACAACTCAATACTTACATATTAATTTACCAATTAACCTAGGTGACTTACCTAATACCTTTGATCACTTTACTTGAATTTAAACAACCCATAAGACTATTTATCTTGTGATGGCCAAATTATGGCCTTATTGATTCGCTATCTTTACAAGCTTTTCATTCATCATTCTATGTTCCATTACATAGTTTAATTCGAGTAGTTATCAATTACATAACTTGATAAACTTCCAACTTTACCTTAAACCTCACGGTGGCTGAATTAGGTATAACCCTAGTTACACTCTTGTCATGTTTTTAATCATTCTTTCAAAGTTCCATTGGCATTTTACCATAACTAGAATCATTGCCAAATCATTTTCAACGATCTAATTGTCACTTTAAAATCCACACAACCTACTTAGATTTTCAAATGATCCTTTCATCATTCTTATTTTACAAACACATCTTAAGACTCATTATCTTCATGAAAACAAGGATGAAACATAATTCCATCCATTTTTACTTGACATGACTAATTTGACACATAGTCATTTTATAGGTTTCCATATCTTTTCCATGATTAATGAACTCTTGATTCATCTAATCATTTATTAAAAGCATCGATCATTGTACACTTAAACATTATGATATTCAATTTCAAAGGCTATTTACCTTGCATAGCCGAATTGGCTATATGTGCAGGTATTTTTAACTTTTCATTAACTTAAACTTAAGTTCAATTACTTCAAGTTTCCAAATACTCAGCAATGATCATGATTTCATTTAGACTTAATATTAAACACATGATACACTATCTTATCCATGTATAAGCCGAAACCTAGTTGTACTTTTAGCCATCCATTCTGCATTTTCATTAGCTTAACTTGCTTAGTTTAAGTTCAACTCATCCCACAACCATTCTTAGACATCAAACCCCATCAAATGTCCAAGATTATATCATCATATATTGCCTTAAAATAAAAAGAACATAGATGATATCTTGAGATCAAACCATAAGAACTCAAGTATTTTACTTTGAATAGCTTCTATGTCAACACAAGGTAACTCTCCACACTTCAAACCACTAAAAACTTCATCTTTCAACACAAAGACAGCCATACCTTCAAAACTTTAGAGAGGGTAAAACACACTCAACTCAGCCCCACTTGAAGAACTAATCATATATTCATGATCACAAGCTGAAACAAATGAAGAGCAAAGAAATGTTAAAGAAGGAGAGCAGGAAAGCAGTATAGCAGAAAGACGAGTAAGAAGAAATAAGATAGTTCCACATCGCTATCGTGAGGAAATGTAATGTAGTGAATGGTAGTTAGTCTGTTATTCAGTTACTGTTAGTTGGTTAACAGTGTAGTTAAGGACAGTTAGTCATAAACCTTGGGTAAATAAATGTGAGGACCCTTAAGTATAAAAGGGTATCTGAATGTAAAGAAGGTATCAATCATTTTAATCAGAATACAATCGATTCATTTCTGTTCCCCTGTTCTTCGTTCTTCCCTTCTTCCTCCCAAATTGTTCTTCATAGATAAGGTCTTCCTTATCAATTGGTGCTTTCATCTGAATCATGCCTCCAGAAACTAGAGCACGCTCCATGGATGATCGTATGGGTCAGACTCAATCGGAGATCGACACACTGAAGGAACAGATGAACGAGAAATTTCAAGAGATCACTTGCAAATTGGATGTGATTTTTGACAATTTCCAGGACAGAAGTTCTTCATCTTCTGTAGCAGAAACCCAGCAGCGGCACATTAATGCAAACGATCATCAAGCAACTCGTAATTTGAGGCTCAAGGTTCCCAAGTTTGATGGAACCATGGATGCACAGGATTGGATTTTCAAAGTGGAATAGTTCTTTGATTTTTATGAGATGAATGCTACACAGCGACTGCGAATTGCACCTTTCTACTTCGAAAGGAAAGCCTTATCATGGTACCAGTGGCTTAAGAAAAACACAACAGTTGATTCATGGCCAGTGTTCCTCCAATCACTACAAGTTCGATTCGGACCTTCTGAATGGGAAAACTATCAAGGGCAATTAGCAAAGTTAACCCAACAAGGTTCTGTCATCGATTATCAGGAGAAATTTGAGACATTGTCCAATAAGGTAAATGGTTTATCAGAATCATTTTTACTTAGTTGTTTCATATCTGGTTTGAAGACAACAATTCAACATGAAGTCAATTCATTCAGACCCACTACACTTACAAATTCCATTGCCTTAGCCAAAATACAAGAAGCCAAATTAGCCTATAAATACCCTTATCCCAAACTTCATTCCCCTTATCCACCACTATTACCTACACCCACAAATACACCTATTACAAACCCTGCATCATCCAAGAACCCTGTCAGTCACACTACTAACATTATTCAACCTAAGGAAACCATCCATAGACTTTCCCAAAGTCAAATACAAAGAGGAGGGACAAGAATTTGTGTTTTACTTGTGGTGATAAATATTTTCGTAGCCACAAGTGTAAGGCTTCTGTCCACATCTTAATTGTACCGGATGATGAAATTTCCTCGAATGATGATTCTGCTGTTGTTCATGAGGACTATATGTTACTGGATCGAGACTCATTAGTAGAGCAACATGAAACACCTCAGATTAGTTTTCATGCTTTGTCTGGCTTTGTGGTACCCCCAAACTCTAAGGTTCCAAGGACATATTGGGAAGACTGAAATGCTATTGTTGGTTGATG